TCCTACTGCTGTTTTATCCCGTTATTTTTGAATTGTACATAATAGTAATTATAGTAGTTTACAATGGCAGAAGGAGGCCTGAGGGTGTATATGATTTTGCTAAGGAAATTGGATCATGTGTCTAAGGATCATTATATCTAATGAAATAGTATGTCCCGTGGAACATGTGTATCACTGGCATTTAGTTTTAGCTCTGTGTTCTGTAATTGAAAAGGCAGATTTGAAGACTACATTATTAGATTTGAGATCTTTTATTCTTCATTGTTGGTTGAAAATTAAATAATATAATCATTATAATAATGCAAAGAAATTATATGAGCCAGTACCAATAATCAGATTTTCTACTGTATGTTTTACTTACCATGGCATGGGAAGGGTGTGAGTGAGAATTAGAAAAAAAAAGGGTAGGGTAAGTCTTCCCTAACTAATGGACTAGGCTGATTCTCCTAGGGTCAGATACTATATTTATATTATGATTCACTGATATCATTAAGAAAGAAGAATAATCAGTCTTTCAACTTGCCACCTATAATCTTGTGTTCCTGCTTGAAGTGTTGTGTTCTTGTGACTTCTGAAACTAAAACAACAAAAAAAAGCACCAGTCCCTCTTTATGGAGCTGAAAAGGATGGACAAAAGGAGAAGCAAAGAAATAAAGTGGGAGTTCAGTGCTTCCTTTAGCAGTTACCTATGGAATTTTATGTTGATTCTCCCTTAATAATATTATTTATATCTTGATTTCTAAGCTTTGACTAAAGTCCATATCAACTTTAGCTTTGTAAAGAAGATAGTAAGAAAGACATTAGATTTGATAATTTTAGCTTTTCTGCAGTAGAAAACATAACTATATTTGTGTAACCAGGGCTACCATACTAATAGGTTGCTAATGAGTCTAGAAGTGTCTGGATGATAACTACGACCCATGGATTACTGTAGATTCAGTTTCATCATTGTCCCATGGAACACAGATCAGTTCCTTGTTGCTGAGACCATGGTTGATTCTTTCAGGTAGTTTCTTTCAGGAGTTGCAAGTGGGCTAATGCATCCTGACAGGACCATTTGGACTTCTGGGGCTCTTTGCTGCTGTACTAGGCTGCTTTGGGCATATATTGCACAGAACAGACTGAAATAAATAATCATTACCAGTTGTCACCTACTGTATTTCTTACAAATGACTAAGAGTTCTGCTTACACCTTGAAGCAATTATCAGTTTTTCAAGGATGTCTGCACTGTTTCTTGAAATCAGTGATCAAAAAACTCAGATGAAGATAGTCAAGTTTAGAACAAAGTTGTTAGAAGCCCCTAAAGGTTAGTATTTTTCCTTAATTAATCCAAGCACTCATTTGCTTTGAAGATAGCAATAGCTACTGGTAAATCTCTGTGTCCCTGACCTTCCTCCTAAAAGGCAAAATCTTTCTCATATTTATTTAATCAGTGGTAACTATCCTGGCATGATAATAGCGTGTATTGTATTCTGTATTTTATGAACCAACTTTCTTCATAACTGAATTACTTCACAAATTCTAAAAGAATATATCCATTTTGTTACAGTATTTAGGTGAGCCAGCATGCTGTGGGAAGTGTTGCCTCAGTCAATTTTCACTCAGCAGTAACCTGCATGGGCAATTCAACTGACATGAATAAATTTAACTACATGAGTATTTTGGCTATAATGGAAATTGGATTACCTCAAAATTTAATTATAGACTTATATGCTGTGCTGAACTGAGATATGAAGTCCCTCCATTTCAAGGAAACAATAGCATGAACCTTGTTTCTGGGGCTTATGTTCTTTTAAAATATATTGGGAATTAATTGTCTTTCTTCTTTCTTTTTTTTTTTTTCTTCTTTCCTTTTTTCCTGCTTTCTTTCTTTTTCTTTCCAACCTCATACAGTTTCCAAAATACTTTCAATTACATGTTACTTTTCAAAGATACATGAGAAAATTTATTCAAGAACTTTATGAACTCATAGCATCAACAGATGTTGAGATTATATTGTCTTAGCAAGTCAAGTTCTCCATTTTGAGACTCCTTTTTAAAAGTTCTTTTCATCAAGAACTAGAGAAATAGTTTCGTAAGTATTATGAAAATCATTGCAGCTTAGAGTAAAACTTCTTTTTCTGCTTTCTTGCTCATTAGAAAGCTTTACAATTTTTTTACAGTATGTATCTTAAGTAACTGTGTGAACACACTGTACTCAAGTATATATTGTCAAGTTCTACAAGCAGAGTGGCAATAATGTAATAGTGCTGATGCTATTAAATAAATGCTTTAATAGTAAAAATTCTCTTGTCTTGTCTTGGAAACAAGACTCGGAACCATTTCTTCACACTTGGAGTTGTTGGGTTTTTTGGTTTTGTTTGTTTGTTTGTTTTGTTTTGTTGTTGAAATAGTATAGATATAGATATAGCGTGTGCATTTCTAGCAAATTTATGATGAAGCCATAGGAATTCTATCGGTACAAACATGCATGCACCTGCACGCTCCCATGTGTGTGAATGTTCTTCAATATTGTACTTATTTCTAACTAGAAAGTTACATAAACTAAACAATTCATCTCTGTTTGTGAGGGAATAAAAACCTGGGGTTCCCAAAGAATACATGTCCTAGTACTAGGTGTGTTCATCATAGTAGACTGAATGGGATGATTGCTGTCAGTGTTGTTTCTGCACTGATAAATTTTGTGTAGAAACAAAATACTGAAGTACTTCCATTATGGAGCAGCTTTTTATTATCTCACTCACATTCCTACAACCATAGAGTTTGTCAGGTTGGAAAAGACCTTGAAGATCATCAAGTCCCACACTGCTAGTATTAATCTGTGTATGTTTTATTAAAGATGGCTTTACTATTTTAAAGTAGATAACTCTAAATGGCCAAATTTCAGATAGTAAAGTGAGATTCATGTTGGAGTGTAAAAATCATTTTCCAAAGGTTTTTTCAGTAAATAGATTTATATGGCTTACTGATTTTAGCAAGTTCAGTATGATTCCATGTCCTTTATTGACTTGCTCCATAAGATTTGCTTTTTTTCCTTAACAGAAGGCTTCGGTAGAACCTTAATGAGAGATTTAGATATATAGAACTATCTAATAGTATTGATATTTATCAATGCAGAGCACAGCATATATGAAAACAAAAGAAATGTAGCCCTTATTTTTAGTGGTTTTATAATCTTTTCCCAGCTTTTCATTTTCATAACCAATCAATAGCTAAAATCTTGTTGTTTTCATTCTCTCTATTTCAGGTATGACAATGAGAGTCAGAAATGTGTCAAGAATCAGATATACAGCAATATTTAATAGAAGGACAAAGCAGCTTAGGCTTAATTACTGTCCAAGAAAAGTAGTAGCAGGATGCATTCATGATTTATTTAATAGAATAAAGCAATTTATATTAGACCACTTATTAATTTGACAGCCAAACCAGACATTTATGCATTTAAAAAATGAATACTCCTGGCATTGATGGAAACCAGGAAGTCCACTTACTGGAAAAACTGGAAAATTTGCCATACAGAATTTATTATCGGATTGGGACTTTCAATGTTGTGCCCTTCCTAAGACAGACCAATTGTGAGTTGAAGGGTATTATCAATGCTTCTCCTAGTAAAGTTTCTTCAAAAATACTGATAACACAGAAAATCTTTGGTTTCAAATAATGTTTGAAGTTTTGGCTTCATTTTATTATGGTTTATTTATTTATTTGTTTGTTTGTTTGTTTATTTTTAAGCAAAAACAGCAGCAAAAAAAAATCCATTCTAAGTTCTTGTAGTGAAAATAACCTTTTGTGAAAACCTCATTCTCCATTTACTTGCCACAACTTTGCAGCAATATACAAAATAGGGAAAATACTACATCTAATCAGGTCACTTTGAGGGTGAATAAATTAGTTCAGCCCCATAAAAAAATAGTGACTATCCAAAATAAGATTATGAGGGATTCTTCTAGTATTCTGTGAAAAATGTATGTTGTTACCAAACAGCATATCTTGGAGTCTACACTTAGAGTTGAACTTTGTACTTCTATGAATTAGAATTTTTTGGCTGTGTTGAAGAAGTAAGATAGATTTAAGAAAGTATTTTACTAAATACTGATCTCTCTGTATTGAATTAAATCAATAGATTTCCTTAAGAGCAATGGTAGTAGTCATACCATGCATTGTGACTCTGGTAACTGGATTATACTGTTTAGTACAAACTCTTTTAACTAAGTCTGTAAAAACAAGTTGTTTATTATTTCCATCACCCTAGTGGCTCCAACCCCAGTTAATGATGAAAGATGGTAGGTGTGAGTAAGCATGATTTAGTTTGAATCCAGTATGTATTTTGGAGAATTCGTGCATTCTGTTTCCATCTCACTGCTGTCCCCAGTTCATGCTGCCGTGGCTGCTGTATCAAAAATGACGGAGCAAGTGTCTCAACTGATTAACCGTGACAAACCTGTAGCAGTATCAGAGACGCTGGATGAAGATCAGGATAATCAAATTAGTCTAGCGAAGGAAGGAAGGGAGGAAAAGAGCAGCGGCAACAATCTATGGAGGAAAACTTATTTTACTATAATATCGGAATACAAGATAACACAATATATACAATTTAATTGAAATTGAGATTAATAAATCAGACAAGATGAGAGAGAGAGAGTTCCCAGGACCGATTGAAACCTGAAAAAGCTTGGAACGGCTAGGAAAGCACCTCCAGCACCCACTGCAAGGTAGCAAGAGAGCGCCCCCCCACCCGGAAGGGCCAGATCCCGTGACTGCTGTAATGTACAGGGATAGGTACTTGGAATTGGGGCAGTGACACTTTAATGCCCCGTACACTACATGATGTTTTGATGTGGAATACTGAAACCCCAAAATAAAAAACAAAAACAGAAAAACATAGAACCATGACAATATAGCATATTGCATCTGGCAAACTTCCCAATTAAGTGGTTATTGTTTTACTGACAAAACACTGCTCAGTCTAAAATAACACGGTTCTTTCTTTTTCTTGAAGGGTCAATGACTGCATCTTGCGAGTGAATGAGGTGGACGTGTCAGAAGTCTCACACAGCAAAGCCGTGGAGGCCCTAAAGGAGGCTGGCTCCATAGTTCGATTGTATGTTCGTCGAAGGAGACCTATTCTGGAGACCGTGGTAGAGATCAAGTTGTTCAAAGGCCCTAAAGGTAAATATGAAAATGAACACACGTCCATTTTAAGCTCAATGTTTAACCTCTCATAGATGAAACAGGACCTGACTTTGTTGAGTGGTTAACTGCTTAACCTGTCAATTACAGAAATAGAATGAATTTAGGTTGGCAGAACCTGGATTCATGACTGCGTGTGTTTTCATTACATATAAAGGAATACAAGACATTGTGATTTGTGTGATGCGATGTTTCTTATAGAGATGGCTTCTTACCTCCAGAATAAATGCAAGATTCAGAAACTGTATGCTTTGCAATGATGGAAGATACATTTCTTCTAAACTTACTCTACTGAAATCATTGAAGTTCATCGAAGATGCTATAACATACTGAGTTTCTGAATTCTTCCTTTTTTAAAGATTGTTTCATATATATCCAACTTTTCCTTTCCACTTTCATGTTGATGCCTTTTCCTACAACTCTCTTTAGAAAAAGGAGACAGGAGTACTAACTTACCAAGATACATAGAATAATTTCATTTTTTCCTTCAAAAAAATTCCATGGATGTCTAGGATAATACCTGCGCTAGCCAAAATCACCTTTATCATTTCTAACAGAACTTTATGGCTACCTATGGCTAAAAAGACTGACAGCATCAGTGCAAATTCTAGTGTCAAACAGAAAGCAGGATATTATTTCTTAAGGTGAAATTATAACCATATAAAACTGTATGATATCACTTTAACTTTTGTAAAAAGTATTTAATTGTAGAAATTACTTTTTAACAAATTTAAATGTATGTTTTTCCTACATGAAATTTCCCTCTAGCTATTAGCTGCTAGACAATGAGCTATTTTTCTTCATACCTGATTACTGGGCAAATAAAATGGTTATTTACACAGTACACGGGAACAGAATGAACACGTAATATATTTATTTGTTCCATAACAATTGTTTCATAAGAAAGACTGTAATTAGTAGCATATGCATGAAATGAATAAATTTGTATGTCATATATGTCATGCACATGAGAATATTCTACCTTTTTCATTTACATGGGATAATCTGTAGGTTTTTTTCAGTGGTTCCTCTTACCTTTCAAATTTCATGAATATTACAGTATATTCCTAGTAGTTTTTGATACCAGTAGTGGAGTCTTTTTGTTTCTAACACATGTGGAATTGCTGAGATTACCAATCCACAGTTCGAAAAGTGCACTGTTTCTAATATACTATAAATACTATGAAAATACTATGTCTCTTTTGTTCTCTGAAAGAGCACTAAATCTGCAAAAAGGCTCTTGGCAAACATTACAGTAAACTCATGGCATAATCCTATCATTTTTGGCAGTAGGTTTCAGTACCAGTCTATTGCAGGATGCTTATCTACTCATAGTTCAGGTAATTTATCTGAGAACTGCTTTTTCAAACCTTTACTATACCGTGCAGGAACAAATAAGTGATTATAAACACGGTGTTTAATGCTTTTCAGAGCCAGATTGGGTCCTAAAATCAGCGAGGTACTCTTCATACCAACTCCTGTCTCCCTACTCATAAGCTTTTTCAAAGAGTAAGGAAAATGAATGTGCTTCTATACAAGGCAGTTGTGTTACACTGAATCTGGAGTTGTAAATATCTTTTTGGATAATTCTTTTCCTGCTTGTCTCATTCATATATTATTGAATTCATTCCTCATTGTTTGGGATTTTACCACAAAAGAAGAAGTACTGGCTTCTCTATAACCATGTAAACTTGGGGGTCACTACCTTGCCTGGATATGTACAGTAGATCATATCTTTCAGTACTTGAAGATGATAAAGAAGGAAATTTGCAATGCATTTCATTTAAATATTCCTTTAATTTCCTCTGAGCCATTCAGAGCAAGGGCATTACAAGATGTGAATCCATAAAAGTTGAATTATTTAATACATGCTGGCTTTTCTAGCTAGCAAGCAGAATATAAAGGACAAAAGTTTAGTGAGCCTGGTGATGGATAGGTTGACAGTTGGACTAGATGATCTTAGTGATCTCTTCCAATCTTAATGATTCTGCAATTCTGTTCTATGTTTTAGACCCTTCTGATTTCAGGCTTCAGTGCAATTGCACCTGATATTTTATAAAAAGCTTTCTTAGCATCTTGCGTGATTAAAGGCATTTTAACTCGTTCACTTACCTTTTTTGGAAAAGAACTAAATAAAAGACACAAATGAGTTGCAAAATGGAAAACCAAAGTTCCAAACAGAACTGCAGCTATGTAGATATTCAGAGCTGTGCATTCACCAGTTCACCACACCTGATTGATAGTATGGACTGGTGTCTATATTAGGTATCTGGAAGGTAACTTCTAACTCTGATCATTACAGGATTGTTCTCTTTCATTTGCTTGGGAGATCGTGTTTTGAATGCCTCTTTTGTGTCTCCTCATTCAGATATACAGTCTTAGTGATTCACTACTACGGCTTTGCATAGCATTTAGCAAATGATAGGTGTTTTACTTCAGTCAATCTCAGGACCATCTACAAATTGTAGCAGCCAATGGCTTTGAAGTAGCTGATATTTGTAAAGGGAAAGGATATGCAAAGGACATTTCTTGTAGGAAATCAATGGAATTTACACACTGTTGAAAACCGTGTCCTAAAATATTATTTTCTTCTTTCACTGTACTGAAACATAACAAGACTAACAGTAATGATAGTGGATTTTGTGTGCTACAAGATTTGCTTCTCAGGAGCAAGCAGACAGACATTCTGAACAAAGCAATTTAATGGTGGCATTTGGCTTTGTAGCATAAATTGTGGATTACCTTCATATAAGACCATGAAAAAAAACTTTGTTCTATGTATGAACAGTGAATTATGAACTTCAGCCACTATTCAGAGACTGCAGAGCTCAAACCAAAGGATTTCCACTGATCTCTGAGGTCAGTGGAATTTTCAGGAATTCCATGCTGTTCTATTACACTGTAAATCTGCTTTTTACTAAAATCAGAAGTATTAAATGATGTGCTTCCCATAACATTAGTTATAGAAATTAAACTTGTTTTTTTTTTTCATTTTTGAAGAATCAGCTCACAACTTGGAAAAGTAGCATTGTTAAACTAGCAGTCAGAAACTACATATACACACAATTTATGTAATACTTTCTGTACCAATATCTGATAATTTAACCTCTGACACAATATACTAAAAGAATTATTGAAAAAAAAAATGCTAAAAACGCCGCTTCCAGTAACTACAGCAGTACTGGGTCACATAATAAATTTCAGATCTCAGTTCTATAGGAAATGTAACATGTGAAAGAAAACACAGCTGCAGAAATGAAGCTGAAGCTCGGGACGTGTGAAGCAGAACAGCTGAGTACTGGGAAGCTTGAGTAGGAAAATGGCAGACTTAAAAACGTTAAAAAAGAAACAATATGAAGTGTAGCTGATTCTACCATCTGGATCTGCTAGTGGCTTGAGAACAGAATCATACAGAAAAAGGATTCATTTCCTTCACCCCTATGGTAATTCAGTAGTAACCATCAGTGTTTTAACTGCAGCAGCCTTGCAGCAGTGGCCACAGCTGCCATTTTATTCACTGTATTTTAGATGAAAAAGCTCTGAACTGAACTGCAGCTACATTTCTGTTTTGTTGTCTGAAAGTTTGCCTTTTTTCATTCCTGGTGAATTCAACCAATGATACATTTTTGAGCAGGTTCACCCCACTCAGCTTTGTGCCCTTAAAAAAAAATATGTGGGGGCACTTATTCCTCTACTCCTTTCTGTCTGTCAGAATTAGGGCCTTTTGAGGATTTTTCGTTGAAACACCTCAGGGTGTTGTTATGTTTTGAGGCACTCCATTAGAAATTAATGCATCTGTTAAGCACTGTTAGCCCAATCCTGTATCTCTCTTCAGATAGCTATCTTTATCTTAGTTTACGTCTTAAAGAGGAAAAACTAAGCTGTGGCATCTCAGTAAAATACTCAGAAATAAGATGGGATGAATATGAAGGACATAACATGCATGTATTTTTTAAATTACGTAAATTCATCTAAATATTAGATGAAGTCATTCAGCATAACCCGTTTCAGAGTTTCCATTTCATTGTTTTGCTGTGTTGGCCTGAAGTGAGTGTGCAGCACGTGGGACATTTGCTTTTCACATAGCTAGCTGTTTAATTCTTGATGACAGTAGTTAAAGTGACTGGGTAATAACGAAGCTTCCTACTGTATCTGGAAAAGAATCACTATCTTTTAAGTAGCATATTTTTCAACCCCTTGCTTAGTTATGGAATTTTCTTGAAAAGATGCAGGCATTTTCACCATCAGTGGTTTCACTGCAAAGGTACCTTGAATTGTTACTGAAATGTTTTTCAGTAACACAGTTTCACAAAAGTTTATACTTATGTCATTGGAGTTGACGTTTTAGTTTGAATTGATGGCCTTAATGGGAGAAGCTTGTGCTGTGTTGCATTGATAGCATCCTGTCTTGCAATGACAAGTGAAGTAGTCCAAAAAGTTGGGTACAATTATGTGTGCTTTTGAAATTTGTTAAAAGTGTTCAAGGCAGCAGAAGAGCAGCTTTTAAAAAATGTTTACAATTGCTGTTCCCAATAAGTAAGGAGAAATCCTATTATTTTTATCTACTAAGGCAAAGCCAAAGGTTACCTTTTCATCTCAGGTAATAGCTACAGCTCTTGAAATGGAACAGAGAGCTTTTGCAAACGAAGAACCTCAGTTACCAGTTTCAGAGAGCGCCAAGAGCTTTCCAGTTGTGCTGCCTGATAACTGTTTGCAAATGATTCCTTCAGAGAGACGATGGTGTGTATATTTTTGTTATTATAGCTATCTCTCTAGTTTTACCCTGGCCTACTTCCTCTAATTTACTGGACACTAAATACTACATAGTAACCCTTACAACTTGAGGAGAAAGGGGTTGTATGGAAAGTTAGGCAGATGTTTTATTAATTTATGACAACCTGAAGCTTTCAAAACATTTTTATTTTCATTCTAAGAAATGTTTTAATAATTCCAAAGTGTTTTCAGAAGAATGCAGCATG